ATGGCGGTGCGGAGCGCCGGCGTGTCGGAGCACATCCGCTCCCAAACACAGCCCCAAGCCAAGGGGGGCCACCCCGAGTCGCCCCGTCAGCCCGGCCGCGCACAAAAACAACTCGTGAACGGAGCGCTCCCGGGATTAGGGATTTAGCGGCCGTGCAGCTCTTTGAAGTTGGAAGCACTAAGTCCGATTATTATTAGAGAGCTCCAGTTCCTTAATCTCCGTATTTGGGGCTGGAGTCGCCCTCCCCTCATCCCCAGGTCCCCAGCAAGAAGGGGATCCACCGGGATCGCCAACGCGGCATCGCATGAGCGCGTGTCGGAGTCTCCGTGCACGGACATGGGACCCTGCGGCAGCAGGAGAGGCAGCCACTAGCACCAACACAAGTGCTTTTATATAATAAAAACACCCCAAAATGCCAGCACGTACGTGTGAAGCATCTTCACCTTTCCCGCAAGCCAAGTAGAAAGGTCAGAATGACTCAAACAGACTCCTCCGGCCGGCCCCGCAGCAGTGACCGTCCCGCTGCGCCACGGCTCCGACGCCGATCCGGACCGCACTGCTCTCCAGGCTTCAAAAAGTTCGACCAACCAACCCAGGCTTTAAAAAGTTAAATTAGGAGAAGGGAAAACCCGAACCGTTATCCCGGGAGCGCTCCGGCACTGAGCACGCACCCGCGGAGGGCCCGGCTCCCTCCGACCACAACGAGCAGCGTTAATTAGGAGCAACAAAGTTTGCTGCACGGGGTCGTTTAATGGGTTCCCGCGGCCCGAGGAGGGTTCGGAGGGGGATATAAGGCCAGGGGAGCTCCATGAGGGAGCACGGTGCAGGAGGGCACGTACAGACACCTATTTATATACGTATTACACACCAGCGTAAAGCCACCATCTTATCGTTAAAGCGAGATTACTGCACCCTGCCTGGAAACGCGGAGCCGAGGACAAAAGCGACGATTCCCTCCCCCTTGCCCCCTGGAACGTCCCGGATCCCCAGCTAAGGAAGCCCACGCAGTGTCCGGGGCCGGAGCCGAGCCCGCGCCAGGCCCCTTCCCGCACGGAAAGCTGCAGGGCAGACAAAGCCGAGGAGAGCTCTGCTCCGGCCGGACAAAACCCGCTCCCGGCAGGCGCGGGGGGGACACGCACGCACCCCCGCATCCCGGCGGCGGGGACGGATGCAGGGACAGGCACCGCAGCGGGACAGAGGACGGCTCAACTTTTCCACCCGCCAAGGAGCCAAAACTCCACGCAGGGCATCGCCGGGGCTGTGGGAAAACCGGGATAGGGGGGGCTCTTCCCAAACATCCTTTGGGATGGCTCCTTTGTCTGGGTGCTGCACGCTGACACTCCCCCTGCCCTCCCCTTCCCGCACACACCAAGGCATTTTTTCCAGTTACATTTTTTCCATATTAGCCTTCGGATTTCGTTATGTCGTCGTTCCCCCCCCTCCACGAGCGCAGCAATACGTCTGATCCCATTTCCATAATAGGATTGTAAGCAGAGATGTCAGATCCAGCACCAAAAGGTGTGGGAGGAGGGAGCACAGCGCTGCTCCCCCGGCCCGCCGGCACTGCCGACCCCCTCCAAAAAAAAGAAAAAACATATATATACACACACATATATATAGACACACTTAAATATACATATGTATGTATATATACATATATATATGTATGTATATATCACAGGCTACATTCCCCAGCTGCATCTGCACTAGGCCTCCCTGGCCTGGAGGAGGGGCTGGAAAGGCCTGGGAGGAAGAGGAGGAGGAAGGCCCAGTCCCAGCACAGCCACAGACCCCCTGCTTTGGGGTCGGCATCCCGGGAAGGGCGGCAGTCGCCTTCCCGCATCCTCCTGCTCTGGCCGTGGGAAATCCAGCGAGAGCAGGAGGGCCGGGGGCCTTCCAGGAGGATTGGGGTTTTATGGAAGCCAAGCTCTTCCCGGGACTTTCAGCATCTCTCTCCCACCAAGACCACGGGAAGTCTCTTCCCCCGTGGGACCAGCACCCACTCCGGCCCCGTGCTGCACCCCAAAAAGTGCTGGATTCTTCCCAAGGGCGCTTGTCCCCAAAACAGCTTTGGAAAAGGGGCTGAAGCTCCAGGTCCTCCAGGGAACAAGCCACTGGGATGGGGCTCATGGATTGGTGGGTGGGCGCCCATGGAGATGCCAGGTGCCCCATGGGGACAGCGAGCACCCAAAAGGTCACTACACATCCCATTGGGACACTGGTTATCCACTGGGACACTGGTTGTCCTACAGGACCTGCAGGTATCCTTGGGGCCCTCCATGGGGCACACGGGACCCCACGCTATCCATGGGGACCATGGACACCCCATGGGACCTGACAGTACCCACGCAGCACTACAGGACACCCACGGGACCGCACGCTTTGCAATGAGCCTCCCACTACCCATGAGGTTAGTGAGCACCCATGGGATCCCTGCAGACCCCATAGGACCTCACGCCATCCATGGGGCCAGCAGACACCCATGGGACCACAGGACACCCCGTGGGACCCCACACTATCCATGGGTGACTGGTAACCTCCTGAAAACACCACAGGGCCCCATGCTATCCATGGGCCAGGAGGCACCCATGGGACCACAGGACACCACAGAGGACACAACGCTATTCATGGGGCCAGGAGGAACCCATGGGATCCATGGACACCCCATGGGACCCAACACTATCCATGAACCATCCAGCACCCATGGGACCACACATATCCTTTACAACCCCATACTATCCATGGGGCCAGGAGGAACCCATGGGATCCATGGACACCCCATGGGACCCAACACTATCCATGAACCATCCAGCACCCATGGGACCACACGTATCCCACAGAACCCCACACTATCCATGAGGCCAGCAAGCACCCATGGGATCCAACACTACTAACGGAGCCAGCAGGCGTCTTGGGGGCAGCAGATCGAGACCAACCACGGGAGGTGGGGGGGGGGCAGCAAATTTTGGGTGCAGAAAGGGGCCAGGGAGAGTTTTGGGGAGGGAAAAGGGGGGCTCCCCCACCTGGTTGAGGTCCTCGTCGTTGAGCAGGTGGGACTCGCGCGGCTTGAAGCAGTTCTGGCACTTGCTCTTGTTGAAGATGTTGGCCTGGAACTTCCTGCACGGGTTGTCCTTGGCGGCCATGGCGGCCCCGCGCCCGCGCAGCG